ATGGTTTTATATGACTTAATGTATTTGGATTATAAGTCCTTTGAGAGGTTGCTGCCAAATCTATGTAATCGGATGGATCTTTGTCATTCGTGGTGAGTGTTGCTAATGCTTGTGGCACATCCTGAGTTTGATAAGAGTAATCTAATCTGTACCTAACACTCAAGGGCAGTATGATTCAATTTACCACAAATTTGACAAGTAGGATTATCATCTTTCTCTTAATTTTGTTTGTCACCTTCATGAAATTGTTTGAGTTCGCATTGTAACGACCAGCCGGAGTGAAACCTCTTCCTCTTGAACTGAATTCTCCACGACCTCCTCTATTAGCTCTTCCACATTCATGTTGACTAACAAACGCATGGTAATATTCAAGGGATGGCGATATTGTCAGGTCAAATTTTAACCTCCAGGAGAAAATTTATTTTTATTTCCTAAACTACCCTTATGAAGTCAAAGTTTTTTTATTCTCAAAGATAAGCAAGCATAAGATAGATCCTTTGATGCAACGAACTACAGCAGCATTGTTAGTGCACTCCAATACCTAACATTCACATGTCCGGATATTCAGCATGTTTTCAACATAGTTTGTCAATTCTTCAATGATCCAAGAGAATTGCACTTCAAGGCAGTCAAAAGAGTCATGCGCTACCTAAATGGAATGAAAGACTACGGTTTATGCTTCATCTCTCGGAGTTCTACTTTGTTATACGCATTCTCACATGTAGAATGGGCTGGTTGCCCATCAATACATCGCAGTACCACTGGTTTCCGTGTATTCCAAGGAGCAAATTTTATCTCTTGGCATTCCAAATAGCTGCCTATGGGTGCAAGATCATATTCCGACCTAGAATATAGAGTTATGGCCTCCACTACCATTGAAGTCACTTGGTTAACATTTATACTTTGAGACTGTTAAATGAATGAAAGAAAAAAATGACCTCATGTTCCATTGTCCCACATGGATGAATGAAGACTCTTGAAAGGCCAAATATAAGCCCACATGTGCTACTCCCCTCATTGCCAATTGGTTTTGAGGTGGAACCACATGTGGGCTTATATTTGGGCCTTTCAAGATGGTATCAGAGCGCTGCAGACCTGTGGGACATGTGGGGCGAGGTGGACTGACCCAGATTGGGTCTTGAAACTTTGGTCAACTCACGAAAGTAATCCGGGGTTTAACTTTGAACTTTAACTAGCCCAACAGGCGATGGTTTATCCGGGAAAATAATCGATCGCAGGACTGAAAAAAAAAATATAAAAAAAAACATAAAAATTACCCGTCCAAGCCCATTGGGCTTGAGAGGGACGTGTTAAATGAATGAAAGAAAGAAATAACCTCATGTTCCATTGTCCCACGTGGATGAATGAAGACTCTTGAACTCAACATATATACCTCATGTGCTACTCTCTTCATTGCCAATTGATTTTGAGGTGGAACCACATGTGGACTTATATTTGGGCCTTTCAAGAGAGACATTGGAATTTCTTTATCTCGTCATCCTCAACTTTCTTGTGACAATCTCAATGCACTCTACATGACCGTTAATCCTCTTTTTCATTCTCGAACAAAGAACATTAAAATCGTCTATCATTTTGTTCGGGAGAGAGTAGCTATGGGTACTCTTATACTTGATTTGTACCTTCTTCACAATAGCTTGTTGATATCTTCAGGAAGTCGTTACCCTAATCTCTCTTCCTCTTTCTTCACAACAAGTTGGGGCTGCATTTTCATTCCAGCTTCAACTTGAGAGAGGCTGGACTATAAGAAAAGCCAATCACTTCATAATATTCTTGCCAAGGAAACCGAATATTCACCACCAAAAGTTTTGAAACCGTAGCATGTTTTGGAAGGCTATCACACAACATCGATCACTACCTAAACCCAAAGCTTATGTTAAGCTTATATTACCGTTAGAGCAACTTTGTTCTTATCTCATCACTGTAAGAATTGTGTATAAATATGTCTCTGTACAAGCAATAGAAAGATAGACGAGATTCAAATATGTTTCTCTTAATTTAGCCCCCACAAGAACGCGCCTCACCGATGCCTCTGGGAATTTAGGAAAAACACTGGTACTAGAATTGCTCGTAATATTTCTTCCATTGGCATTGCATAAATATGCAGTAATTGTTTGTAAGGAGTTCATGATTTGCTTGGTAAAATGGACAATTGACATGTATGTGTAAGGTTTGCATTTGGCTTCTGACGTGACCATATGGAACGTTCTGTGTGTATGGATGATGCAGATTATGTATTGTGTGGCTGCTGGACTCTGAGGTGAGCCTACAGGGGTCAGGAGAGTCGCCTAACCCCCCGGTTGGTCAGAAAACTACTTAGGATTTATTCCCGGCTGCCCTGCTGTAGTCTGTTTCTATTTCGGCTAACCCCTAATTTTTGCAGGGAAGCACGCTCGGAGAAGAAAGACTTAAAAAACTTTTTGGATTCTCTGTTAGGAACCGACTTGATTTAACCGCTAAAATCATGAAAATTCAGCTAAGTCCGAGAAGAACAAATATTAGGGTTGATAGGATAGAGAAGAATTGAGAGAGAAAGAAAAAATGAAAGAAGATTTCTCAACATAAATGTTGCTCTGGAATGATCGATAGCTAAAACAATCTATTACAACTCAATTTATAGACTTAAATCCTTCTAGAAGGCAGCTGAATTCGATAAAAAAAAACTCCGATGCATGAAAACATTAAATGCGCACATGCAGGACGACGCCGTTGCCTCCTCAGCTTTCCCAATTTTGACAGCACGACATATTTGAATTTTCCCGCTCCTGACATTATCAAATTTACTGGGCCTCTTTCCTTTTCAAAAAGTAAGCCTGTTTTCGTTTAGGCTTTTTTCATGGCAAAAAATTAGCTATTCAATGAGCAATATAGGTTGGATTTTTATAAATATACTATGCGAGTCCAAAAGATGTAACCATGTACTTCCTTCGTCTCATAATTATTGTCTACTTTGCCCAAAAAATTTTGTCCCAAAATTCTTGTCCAATTTGACTTTTTATGGATCAAGTTACACATTTGTCCTTAGTAAAAAACATTATCCATAAAATCTTAGTAGTTAAACAATTACTTATGTAGGGGTATATTCGGTTGTTTAAGATAAAATATAGTTAAGTTTGACCAAAAATAAAATCTTTCATTTTAGTAAAACTGGACAATAATTATGGAATGGAGTGAGTATATAAATCTGAATCTGAATAATATTTATAACTAAAATATTGTTTTCTAATTAGCTGGTTAATCTTGTTGCTATTTTTTTTTATGGGAAATAAAGTCATCTTGAGGTGATTGCATGACATCAAAATGTGAAGGTGAAGAAAGTTAATTTCTAAGCATTATTTCTTTTTATATATCTCAATTATTAAAAAATTGATTATAACACCCAATTATTAATGGAAATGAATTGATTATCTATCATTGAGCATAAAAATATCTGTAATAATTTTTTTCCGCAAGAAATTCCATCTTATGTCTCCTGAGTTTAAAAAATATTGTTGATTTTTAAAAATGCTTTATGATGGTTTTTTACCAATTATTCTCTCTGATCCTTAATATAAGGTATTTCGGTTAGTCTTAAATTTACCTAGTATGCATTTTTAATTAAAAAAAAATTTAAAAATATATTTTCCTATTCATTGTATTATCTTGCTGTTATGAAATATTTTTAATGTTTTTTTGTCAATTAAAAATACAGATTAGGTGAAATCAAAATGTAAGGACGGAGGGAGTTTATAAATACAGTTCATTCTTATGTATCAGTTTGGCTTCAAATATACCCAGAACTAAACTTCTGGTTCCACCACTGGTGTTTATTCCTGTTGATGATCTTTGTTGTTTCGCTGTATCGCTTCTCACCTCTCGAATCGCGAAGGTCGGCTGCTTTTTCAGTGCTAGTGCCGCGGCATGGTGATGATGATGATCAAATATTCAAGAAATCGTTTGATAAAGTACTAGTAGTGTCAACATTATCAATTTTTTAGTGCAGATTTACTGTATCTATCTACCGACCCTAAATATTGGATTTGCTTTAGATCAGATGAGACTCTGGACATTAAAAAGACCAGAATATTGGATTTACTACCTGGACATCAAATTTTGGAAGATATCAGACTTGATGATCTTTGAGTTCTGTCTTCAATATCCTCCATCATCTCTTAAAGATATAAAATAACGCACACCATGTTTCTACATCACCAACAAAAAACTTGATTAATTAGTTTTGAGAATGGCCTGATCACGACCTCACCGTTTCCTTCCTTCATCCCATTTTACACGCTCTTGAGAGCATCATTTGGCATAAAATTTAAAAAGAAAAAGAAAAAAAAAACGCACAATCTTGGACGTTCATTCTGTAAAACGATTCAACACCAATAGAAGACATGAATAATCTGTTGAAAATTGCTATATTTACTTGCATGCATTGAAGCTTCACCGGCCATGGAAAACAACTCATGATTGGGGCTTTACACTATAAAGTAAAGATTGCCACTTCCCCTTTGTTGTAGTGTAATGGTTATGATGGTTTTTTAATTGGTGGGTTTTATTCATTTCAGCAATGCTGATAGTCTTTGATTCAACTACTTATCTTGTACTCTCTCTGTCCCAAAATTATTCTCCAGCTTGAAATTTTACTTTTAGTTCAATTCATATTACAACTAAAAATCCACACTGGACAATATTCAGACGGAGGGAGTATTAGATTGTCAGTAACACTTTTGATTTTGAGGACAAAATGGTTATATAGATAGAAGAGGAAAGGATGATTCCGATATCCACCCCAAAAATTAGAAGCTCAGCGTTCTATTAAAATTGGGAAGAGATGGCTTTGTTTGGCTTAAGCATGTATACAATATACTACCTTTGCCCAGATAAAAACTGGCAACAAGCAGTAAATCATGAAGCACTTTAGCAACAGTAGCCGTTGTACCAAATGCTGAGGCAATTTTACCGAAAGAAATCCATAAGACAACCTGATGACCAGATCATCAAATGTTTTCTTTACTCCACTCCCATATAACTTCAAGGTGATGAGCCATTTCTAACTTCTTTGTATCTTCTTTCCTTCTAAACACAGCAATCTGGGAGGCAAAACCAGGCTCTACATCAACCACACCACCGACACCACTGAACTCTACATTGTAGTTATGCCTCTCAGAGAGACCAATCGCCCAGTCACGAAATTGAGCTCGTGTCCACTCAAATTTGTGGTCATCATTGCGAAACTTACAAGACTGTAGTTGATTCTTCTCATCAGGATCCTCTTCTTGGTTTTGAGTAGATTTCTGGAGAATCACATTGTACTCATAATTTGGTGTAGAGATGATCAAAAGCATTGGACAAAAGGAGCTGAGCACAACATCACCAAATAAGCTAGCTTCATGTTCCTCCATATGCTCAATTACCTGCAATTCATACACATCCTAGTTTAAAAAAAAGGCCTAATTGATAATGGCTTAATAAACCATGTCCTACATTGAAACTTTAACGGAACAACAGCCAGTCTTTAACTCCACTTTTTGCCAGGTTAAAGAACTTCAATCACGTAATAAAAGTTTTGCAAACACAAGATCTGTTCACGAAAGTAAATAAATAGAAAATTATATTCACATCCTACTATTGTGAGAGCCCATTGTCAGGCAATTTTGCGATTAGATCATTTAATAATGCCAGAAACTGTAGGATCTTATCTTGATATAATCTACTTGGCTTTACAGACTACAATAGCATTAGTAAATCGAGTCAAAGACAACCCATTCCCAGCCACTAAGAATCCTGAATTCCAGATAAAGTTACAATGCGAGTGATTAAGATATTGTGGGGTTAATTTACCCATAAAAATCTTAAAGTAAAGCCAAAAAAATTTAGAAAGAAAGCAACTCCATTCAAAGTAAAGAGATTACATCCCCGGACCTGGTAGATGACAGTCTGCGAACAACTCTCCATTGTGATTGTTCATTACACAGGTTTAACAGATTTTAACAGTGTATTTTCCCAAATAATGTACCAAGAGAGATGTAATTATCAAGATAGAAAAACTTATTAATTCAATAAGTATTCTGGGAGGACAAAAGAAGATCTCTAACGGTCACGTGAAATTTAATTATAGTTCAATAAAGCAGTCTGCTCTGTTATGCTTATAAATAAACTTTACTATTACGGGCCTAGCCACAAATTCATGTTTTGAAGTGGTTACCAACAACACATAAGAGGTTATACTCTAAATGTTGACATAGCTTTTCATTTACCTGATGATTATCAAATAGAAAATCAACAACAGTAATCCAATATTTTCCCACGAAGATATTTGTCCAGAAACTCAGAGCTGTTAGAACTTAGGAGTGGTTGGCATTTCAGAGGTCTATCCCGAGAATGGAGGAAATGGAGGTAAGAGATACTGTAGGAATGAAAACGTGCACCTTTGAAAAACTAGATCCTATGTGCAGTGACTGTAGCATCGATATATCACCTTTGGAACAAGAAGAATGCTAGGATTTTTGCAACAAAGTCCAGAGACTCTATGGTATTTTAAAGACATTACAGACTGAGTAAAAGGATACATTCAAAAGAAGCTAAAAAAGGTGCAGCAAATTTTGCAAAATAGTGCAGCTTAGACTTATCTGTGACTCTTTTGGTTGTAAATACGTTCTGAGTTCTTCATTCTTACTAAATTTGCAGTATTACCCCCCAAAAAAACTCAGCTTTGTAAATTTGATGAAACAAAAGTTAAGGACTATGGTCCAAATCTTGATGGAGAAGCCATTATAGGAGAGGAGCAATCAGATTCAAACAGGAATATGTACCTCTAAGCAGGTTCCAATATCAAATCCGCACAACCTTGAGTCATAACTTGTAATGGAGCCTTCATATAATACTGCAGATTCGATTCTGTTAGTCGGCAGATTCATCTCCGCATTTGCCTTTAGTTTTGAATGGAGCATCTGAAGTGTAGACAAAGGTAATACAAAAAATGAATTAGGCTACATATACATTCATGCATCATAAAAACCCTCAATAGCATCTCTCACCCAAGCAGGAAAACTACCATTTTAAAAGCTAAACCAGAAAATCCACAGAAAAGAGAATAGAAAAGTACATCATTGTCAGGAAACTTTATTAGTTTCAGTCTTCAGATTTCTCATCGTATTCCATTGTAAAGGAAAGACAAATCTCGAAAGAGAAGCTGACCAACAAGAGCAGTTACAGCTGATACGGAGAAAAACATGACAATGCAAAGTCACCCACCCAGCCTTCAAGTTGCAACTAATATTAGTGTGTAAACACTGACCTTAGCTGCTCGAGCAAGGGCTTTCTGCGAGATATCAACACCAACAATTTTCTCCAAGGAGGTTGGATAATTTAAGAGAGAATCCAATAAACTTCCGGAGCCACACCCAAAATCAACCTGAAGCTCACCAGCACATTAAAGAAACAAGTCTTTTTTTTTCACAGTTTCACATACCACAAATGATAAGCATAAAAGAACGCACCAGAGATAAAGCACATGACTCTCGTATGTGTTGCAACGCGTATTCAACTCGCTGTTTAGACAGAGGGGGGCTGAACAAGGCCTGTTCCATTCTGTCTTCCAAAGGTTCTGTAACACGTAGCAGCGTTACACAATACTCCAGACTGCATTTACCTGCATCAAACAAACAAAAAAGAGAAAGAATAAAATCCAGAAGAAACTACAACAGATCGAGAAAAGAAAAAGTAGCTGAAGAGAAACTGAAACTGTGTTCACATTCACTCACCTGAAGATAATATCGAAAGTGTGGTCAGAGCATCATCTGCAGCTGCCAGAACAAACTCCTTCGGGGGCAATTCAACCCTAAAGCTTGCAGATTGACCAACAGAGATCTGTGTCACAACCCCTTCAATAAAAGGAAGGACACCTCCATTTCCTATCTCGAATTCAAACTCTTCATTACTTTCCACATGTTCCTTGAGGGATCCCACTTCTGTCACCAAGCATACACTATAGCTAATACAGACAAAAGAGCCACTAGACGGCAGACCCCCAGTAGCTTGTCCAGCCACGGTAAAAGAATTTTCCAGCATATTATCATCTCCGCTACCACTAACAGTACTAATCCACAAGTTTGGCACTAAATGAAGTACTTTAAACTCCTGGACGAAAAATTCAGAATAAAACTGAATCTCAAGCTTCTTAGCTAGGGAACTCAGCTTCTGCAATGATGTTTCATACTCTTTGAAAAGGGCATCCAACCATGAGATGACTTTCAAAGCAGCATTCTGTATCGCATCTGTCTCTTTCTTATAGGTTTTAGTTGGCAAACAATGCAGAATCAATTCCTGATGCTTTGAAAACATTTTTACTTCACATTGAATTGCTCCACCTGGTTCCTCTGATTGGCCACCTACAGCAGAAGGATCCAGTCTGCCTTTTTCTTCAATCAAATTTCCTTCCTTCAATTTCTTACATGTCACATAAGAAGTTTCTGGATTTTCTGAGCACTTACTAAAAACAGAAAACACAGGTTCAGCCAACCGATAGTGCCGGCAGAATGTACAGAGAATTTCTCTTGGAAGTAAACCCCTCCAGCTGCTTTTTGTCGTATATGCCACAGGCAATTCAGCTGCAAGTATTGCCTCCCTTGACAATTTATAAACCCCATTTGGTATCTTACTGATGAGTAACCTGAGCACAGAACGTTTATATCAGCTGAAAAGATTTGGCTATGCAATGTACAGCAATCACAATCATTCCAACAAAGAGAGCACATAAATACAGAACTTCCAAACTAGATAAAAGCATAAGCTAATAAACTGGAGCCTAAACATACCTAAAATACGTTTGCAAGGTTACATCTTCATGAAATAGGTCACCAGTGTTCCACTTATAACCCACAGATGCCAAAACCGCATCTCCATATACTTGTTGGCCAGCCATATAACTTGCCCTGACATTTGTAGGTTCTTCATGTTGGTTTGTAACATCTCCTAGAGGGTTTGATGATTGCTCCAAATCTAACCGACAGTGTTTAGGAGCAGTAAAATATAATCTAGTCTCAGAGGAGGCTCTTCCAATAGTCCTGCAAAAATATAACTATATTAGTAAACATAAGAGAGATACAGTTCTACCAAGACCAACCCAACCCGGCACAGAAGAGACACACACAAAAGCAAGGTGAACCACAACTTGAAGCTTCAAGGTGAACCACAAAAAGTAAACATAAGAGAGACACAGTTCTATCAAGACCAATTAAACCCGGCACAGAAGAGACACACACAAAAGCAAGGTGAACCACACCTTGAAGCTTCAAGCAAGTAGAAAAACAGAAACCCCCAAAGTGATAAAAGTTACTACCACTCAATTGACATACATAGCCGACTATGCATTCAGAAACAGCGGAGAAATTAAATCAAGGTATCCAATCGTAGAACATGCGGAATTCCAAAAACTGATCAAAGCTCACATGCGTCTCTTGTAATGGAAGACTGCACTTTTATGATTGTGCTTACAGGTAGTAGACAGACTTGCAGTTGGTACTAGACAAAGATTTTTGCTATAAGTAAACGGCCAGGGGACAATGACCATGCCATGAAAAATACGTCTGCTAGTCCCACAGAAACATCTAAGATGGCAGGCAAGTCGGATAAACAATGATCATAATGATCATTGGATTAAGAGGCTTTCAATCTATTCATATCAACTTATGACACCGGTCAAACAAAGATAAGATAAAATTTTCATGACACGGATCAACTTCAGAACAAAAAACATATACATCAAGGTGAAATTTCTTACTTGGAGATTAGAATTCCAGAAGCGTTGGTAGTCTCCAATGCTTGTGCAATGACATCAAGGTAATAACTACCAGAGGAAATGTTAAGAGCCAGCGACTCAAGATTCAAATCTACAGATGAGGGGATACGTACTACTTGAATTTGAATACTTTCAGACAATCTAGAGTCACTAGTTTCTAGAGACTGTAAAACATCAGGAGGAAGGAGGTTCTGCCTCTTTAGAGAGAGAGAATCCTTTAAGAGCAGCAAAGAACAAGCTGGCCTTGCAGCAGCAGTTGCAACAATTGACATACCCAATAGCAGGTTTGACTCTACATTGGGATTTATGATTTTGCACAAGTTATTAAGTTTTGCATCAAATATGACTAAAACCGATATTGGAACACAACCATAGAGGTCTTCTGATCTCCTCATTGCTGCTCTGAAGTGACCACTGAGTGGATGAACAGATGAGAGGAACTGCATCAACATCAGGTAAGGCATTAAGCAGAATAGAGAATACAAATTACATAGCCAGGATGGAAAGGGGAGAACTTTTAGAAGGAAAAAAGAACAAAAGAACAGAAATGACATTGTTCGTCCTTTCCAGGGACACAAAGAAATGCATATACATACTTCTGCACTTTTGAAATGAAGTTTTAAATATGAAACCACTGACTAATGGAAAAGCAGAGAGGTTGTATACCAGTGTCCATCACACTACAAATAAAGCAATTAAGGTGGTTTACAAGATTTTAGTTGGTTATATATATCAGTTACCAATTACCAAGAAGAGTCACAGACTCACAGGAAACATAAGAGTGTGAGAAACAGTTACAACTGACAATTTCTTTTGTTGCACCTATTAGCTTTTCCCACATCAGTTTACATGTTATTTTATTTAAAAACAAAAACCAAAAAAAAAAAAAAAAAGGAGAAGGCCAGAAAAGGCCAACATTTTGGAAATGACTGCCCAAAACCAAAAAATAATGTTTTGCTACAGAAATATCAAAAACATAAAGAACTCTGGTTTTCTAAGAAATTGCCATGAGAGTTGATAGAAGCTGGAAAATAGCCCGCTTTAACACCAAAAAGGAATACATGTGGATGACACTTTCAAATTAGTACTAGAAATACCTCACTTGAAAATAAGTATGATAAACGATCAACCAAATTTTGCCATGCCTCCTCTACAGTGGGAATAGTTTCTTCCAGATGAATACCTAGCTGCAAGAGATAAGAAATGGAAACTTAATTAGACAAATTAGAGAGCCAGACAAAGAGAACATGTAACCATTACTTGAGATCAATTTCAGGCACAATAAAGAACACAACAGGGCTTAAACACCAAAAAACAAATTCTATAGTGGAACATAAGCACAATAAGATACAACTACAAAATCAGCCAGGTACGGACAAATCTTTGATTTTTGTAGAGCAGTAACAACTTAAAACCTGAAGGGAAATCACCAAAACACTAAATGGAACAAAGCTACAGAATGCTTTGTCTAAAAGAATATACAAATTCTGCATCCATAACAAGATCCTTTCCACTTGAAATAAACAAGGTCAGGTATTTCCAACAGTTAATTGATTAAGAAAATATCAAATGTATTCATCTACAACAAAGTTTGCAGTTGTAATAAGTTTGTGACTCAAGCTTAGCAGCATATTTAAAGTATGTAGAGGTAGTAAGAAGAAAATATAGGAAGAAGCTACCTGATAAACCATGTAGTTTCTTACAACTCTGACCCCATAGTTTTACACTGCTAACACAAAAAGTCTATTTCAATTATATTTATGTTAGGAGCTTGATGCCAATGCATTATGCTAAAACCTAAATTAATCAGAACACAAGCCACACACAATGTTATAGTGATACCCTTAAATATGCTATCAAACATCAGCTGAAAGAAACTACATTGAAAAAGACGAAAGGACAAAAACTTGCAAACCTTTTTTATAGCCTTCTCTGCAGCCGCTTGCTCTGCATCCTTCTTCCGCTTAAAAGGTTCTGAGACAACAGAAAGTTCTGGCAATTGTAGACAGCAGCGGTAAAGACAAGGACGTTTTTGTTGGATTGCTAGCCCGGGACAGTCATTCTGGGAAGACTCTTCCACTTCCTCAACTGTATAAAGAGCCTTACTTCCAAACTTTTGATTTATTATGGCTTTAGGCGTAAGGGTTGATTTCTTTGCTGCAACTGCTTGGGACTGTAATGTACCCATGAGTTTTCTGTGCTTAACAATTGTAGCCTAGTAGGAATTTTCCAAATACAGCCCCTTTCTCCTGAGTATTTGTGTTCAACTGAAATGGGAAAAAGGGCTCTAAGCAACCAATCCAGCCACAAGGTTCTGATTCCTGTAGAGTGCCTGATCACGATCTCAACACTAGCCTTAATAGGAGAAATCTTTAAGGCCATTTAAGGGTTCCAAATAAAAGCGAACAATAATGCTGCCCTTAATTCAAAAAAAAAAAAAAAAAAGGAACACCAGACATATTCCAAATTCCATTCCCAGAAAAAGGAAAAATCTTTCAAAAGAAAAAACAGAAAAGAAATGATAAATAATACTTCAAACGAAAACCCAGAAAAACAGTGAAGAAAAAGAGAAGGCTGAAAAACGTACCTGTGGGGGAGAGTAACAATGGCAGCAGATGCTTGGAAAAAAAAGCAGAAGCGGGAAGAGTGAAAGGTTTTCTCCTGGGTAATTGTGGGGTTTTAGAGTCTGAAGCTACTTTGAGTCTGTTGAAACTTGAAAAGCTTTTAAAAAAATAGAATATATGCCGCTAGGCAACGAATTAGGTGCTGGGGGCTTTTCAATTTCCGCGGAAAATAGTCAAAATCTTTTTTCTCCTTACTCCCCACTATTTTTTTTATACTATTACTTATGACTAACCATACTGCCAGCACAATAATTAGCCGCCAAAACAAATTATACATTTCTTTCCAACACTAGCCTTAATAGGTCAAACTGTAACTTTCCTCCGTGGCCTTCTTTACACTACAACCCCCGACCAAAACCATTATGTTGGTCGATTACCATTTAGCAATCCTCACTGAACAGACCATAATCAACTAATTATCCTCTTCCTAATATTTATTTTTATTGGTGACCATCACATAGTTTTATATACAAATTTTTATCTCAATTTTAAAAGTAGAAACTAAAATCTTCTCTTCAGAGTTCCAATCTTCAATTGCAATATAAAATCTAAGTTGTTAAACCTCAAAAAATTCATATCAAAGTGAAGAAGGGAAGGCTGTCAAATTTTGATAAATCCATATTTAGGAAGAAGAATAAGATCCTTACCCACTAAAACCTGAAAGCAAACCATTTTAGACAAACTCATCTATAAGTAAAGAGTAAGGACGCAATAACAGATCTGAATAGCAAAAAAAATCCACAAATCCAATTCCATTCAAGAAGTATAATAGAAAGTCTCGTCCACTGAAAAAAAACTCGCATGTAGAAAAGGCAAGTACTGTAAACTGATACCAAAAAAACTCATGTTCTTTAACTTGTGGGATGTGCCACGGGATTGAAGCTTTTGTATGCATTCCCATACTTGGGAGGGGTTTTAGACCTTCTTCATGGCAACTTTTTACCACCATTAACACAGAGAACTTTACGAGAAATTGGTTTTCAATTCTAAAACTTTTGAGGCAACTCATGCCCAAACTTTTGAGGGATATGGGAATTCTAACCATCTCTGTTTTTTGTTCTAATCCACAAAAACTTAAGAAATGTCAAAACAAAAAGGAAGAGATATAAAAAAATTTGACTAATTAAGGATAATGTCGGGAAAATATGTATAATATGTCTGGAAAATTTGATTAATTAAGGAAGAGATATAAAAATTTGATTAATTAAGGATAATATCGAGAAAATATGTATAATATGCTCTGGCAGCTAATTTTTGTGTTGGCATTATCACTAGTCATTATGCATGAGGTGCTCAAAATCATTGTTACCAGATAGATGAGTCCAAATTTAAATTAAATTCTTTCCTTTATTTATTATAGTAACACCTTAAATTTTTGATATTGAAGATCTTTATTGGAAAAAACTTTCGCGAGCCTCTGACTTGGATTTTTTTTAGTGTTTCAATCACATGTTATTTTGCTAGTAAATTTTTTTTATTTTCCATTCAACTTGAATATACAATTTCATTCAGTCATATTTTTTTGGTATTCCAAGTACATGTAATTTACTTGATCAATTTGGTTCACTAATTTCCTATTTGATTTGAACAGAAGAAAATATCTAACATTTTTACAATTAAATTTCTGTTTATAAGGAGAAAATTGGACAAATTTCTGGATTAAACTTCATGTCACAAATATACATGTCACATAGACACTCCTCTCTCATTTTCCAAAACTAAAAAGGTAGGAAGTAGATCCTACCTAAAAAGAATCAAGACGATTTTTCTCTCTCTCTTTCTCTTGAACTGTGAGCGATTTCACATTTACTGAGTGAGAACATCTTCATGATTCCAACGCACTCTCTCCGTGTCCACGATGGTTGGGAAGGCGAAGAAAAGAGAGAAAGCTGATGATACAGGGGAATTGGAGCACTCAAAAACTGAAAAAGATGGAGCCATCAACAAGGGATCGAGTAGCAGTTTGAAGCCTATGAACAATGAGGTGAGCCTTAATTCTCAGCTTTCATGGAATTCCAGTCCAGATTCTATACTAGAAAGTATATGTAATCGTAAAATCGTAGATGAATCGATGGGTGATTCGGGGAAGAAACGGGCAGAACTGAATTATGAAAGGACAGAAGCAGGAAAGAATGTCTCGGATAATTTTGATCCAAAGAAGTTGAGAGGTGAAGAATGGAAACTAGAGTTCATAGAATCAAATGTGATAAATGAAAAAGTCATAGCCAAGGTGCATAAGGAAGAGATGCAGGATGTAGTTGAATACTGGAAATTATCTGTGTTATGCTACATATTAGGTTCAAAACCTCCCTTTTATGTGGTGAATGGGTTTCTTAGAAGACTGGAGAGATTTGGGATTTGACAAGGTTCTATTAATGGATAATGGATATACATAGTGAGATTCAGATCAGTTGATGAAAAAGAGATGGCAATCAGGCAGAAAATGTATCATTTTGATGGTAAGCCGCTTATTGTTAAGGATTGGAATGTAGAGTAAGGCTTTAAAATTAAAAACATAAACCAGGTTCTTGTATGGATTCAGTTGTCAAGGCTTCAATTGAAATATTAGAGTGCCCGTACTCTGAGTAAGATTACAAGCACTATAGAAAGGCCATTGGAGATGGATGAAATGACATGTTAGAAAAATAGAGATGGTTATGCAAGAATCTTGATTGAAATAGAAATCAGTAGCACTATACCTACATCACTGTGGTTTGAAGATGAAAATGGAATTGTTCAAGAGCAACCCATAAGATATGAATGGAAACCTATAAGGTGTAACACTTGTAAGAGGTATGGTCATGCTATAGAAGAATGTAAGAAGTCACAAGTACAAGTATGGAAAAGGAAAATTGAGACAGTAAAGGAAAAGGAGAAGGTGATAATCAGGCACTCAAAAAAAGACCAAACAGTTCAAGAAGAATCTACTTCAACTGTTGATGCTATGACTGCAGAGAAATTAGGGAATGAAGAAAAGAGAAAAAGAAGTCAATCAATAATGATCCTCCATATCTGTTGAGAAAAGGTGTTGTTACTGGTGGTAAAAAGGTAGTAGCAATATAGGATGGAAAAATAATGGGAAAACAGAAAGGAATGAATAAAGTTTGTTACAATGGTACTAGCAACCCTTTAATAGGGTTTAGTTACCATGAGTAACATTATCTCATGGAGTATAAGGGGCCTTAATTGTCCCCTGAAACACAAAGAGATTGAAAAATATCTCTTTGTTAATAGAGTTGGTATTGCAGGATTGCAGGAAGTTAAACTCAATGGGGAGATTATGACTAGGAAATGGTCAAACTATGATTATGTAAGTAATAATGAACTAGAAGACAAAGGAAGGATTCTGTTAATGTGGCTGAAAGTAGAGTATAAAGTAAATATTAAGAAGAAAAAAAAAAGCAGCTAATCCATGGAATCTTCAAAGAACTTGGTAGCACCATGGAATTTGAAATCACTATAATATGTAGAGATCATCAACATCAAGGAAGGATTGCTCTATGGGATGAACTACTGGAGATGGCAGTAAAAATAAGAAGACCTTTGCTTATAATCGGGGATTTCAATTGTATAATAAGCTCTGACGAAAAAATTGGGGGGGGGGGGGGTGGAAGGTTCAGAGAAGATTAGTCAAGATGCAGAAATGTTTAATCTTGTCATGGAGACTTGTGAAGTTCAGGAAATTAAGACTCAAGGTAGTGCTTTCACATGGAGAAATAAGAAATCTGGTGACAATAGAATTGTCTCAAAATTAGATAGAGCTCTAATAAAAGAGCTTTGGTTTGAAGAATGTGAAGATGCAGATGCTTTAGTACTGACTGCAGGAATTTTATATCATTGTCCTTTATTGATCAGGAGGGTAGAGAAGATGGTTAGGAAGAAAAGTACTTTCAGATTTTATAACACGTGATTAAATTACCCCTCTTATAGGTACTCAAGGCAAACTGGAAGCAGAATAAGGAAGGAGCAAAGCAGTACAAGTTATGGAGGAAATTGAAAGATCTGAAAAATCCTTTGAAAGAGTTAAACAAGCAGCACTTTATGGATTTTGAGCAAAAGATAGAAATGGGATAATGATAGGTACAAGTAAAAATTACAAGGAAAAATAACAGAGAAATGATCTCACCCATCTATTTTAAAAACTTTTCATACGGGGTTTAAGTATTTAAGGTTAAGGTCTAGTTTTGATATTTGACACATCATTCCTTGTAAATTTTCCTTGTTATTTTTTCCCTGCACATATTACTACTCATAGAAATGGCACAGAAAAACTTGGAAGAAATTCAAAGGGAGCTCCAGCAAGATCCGATGAATATTCAGCTTCAAAATGATGAGGAGCGAGGTACTAAAGTTTATATTGAAGTTTCCAAAGCAATGATGAGTTACCGGCAGCAGCAATTGAAAGCACAATGGATACATGAGGGAGACCTAAATACAAATTTTTCCACCATTATTTAACAAAGAAGAAAATTCCAAATAGAATAACTTCTTTTACAAATCAGCAGGGTGATATAATAGAGGGTAGAGAACAGGTAAAGTAGCATTTTATAAACTTTTATGTGCATTTGTTGGGACAGAAAGTCAAAGGAAATTAGTTAACAGTAACATTTTTCAATTAGGATTTAAACTGACTGTATACCAGCAGATACGTCTGATTGAAAATGTTACTGAGGCTGAAATAAAGGCAGCTTTATTCAGCATAAATTCTCAGAAAAGCCTGAGTCTAGACGGCTACAACAACAGTTTCTTCCAAGGTTCCTGGGATATAGTGGCAAAGGAGGTAAATGAAGCTATATTAGAATTTTTCAATTCAGGGAAAATATTGAAACAATTTAATGTATATTAATAGCTCTGATTCCTAAAGTACAAAAACCTAGAGATGCTGCTGATTTTTGACCAATTGCATGTTGTAATACAGTATACAAGTATATTGCAAAAATTCTTAGTACTAGACTAAGTACGGTGTTGCCTGATATAGTATGTCAAATCAAGGGGCTTTTATACATCAAAGGTCAATTCTCGAGTTTTTGACCTAAACAATTTTCTTTAAAAAAAGGTAGACCAAATTAATTTTTTTGAAATTTTTGTGGACAAATCTATATCCTACGGATTTCAAAAATCCGAATCCGGGGTAAACTCGGATTTCGGAAATCCGAATTTAATAGAAAACGGATTTTGAAAATTCGAATTCATTTTAATTAAAACTAAAACTAAGTAAAATTTTCATCTGTCATAATTAATCATAATTCGGATTTCTGAAATCCGACTTTATGATTAAAATATTAATTTTTGAGGAAAATTTTTTTTTGTACAAGTGTTGGTAATTTTTTGAACACGAATCGGATTTCCGAAATCCGAATCTTCCATGTTTCCCTGATAAACTCGGATTCTAGAAATCCGAACCTAAACCCGAAACCCTAAATCCGAGTATACGTTACACTCGGATTTTGGTAATCCGAGTATATGTTGCACTCGGATTTTGGTAATCCGTTTATAGGTTACACTCGGAGTTTGGTAATCCGAGTATAAGTAACACTCGGATTTGGAAAATCCGAAGTTAAACCCTAAACCCTATGGCCTTATTTTGAAAATCTAATTTTTTACTTGACTCAGATTCTGAAAATGCGATTATTTGCTTAAAAAGTACATAACAGTAGTACATATAGATTATAACTGAATTAATGATAATATTTAATAACTAACAGATTTAATAATAATAAATAACAGTAATACCACTTATGTATAATGAGTATTAGTATTAATGTACTACATAATATTAGTACGTACAAATAATACATAACACTAATACAGATGAATTATATTGAATTAATGATAATATCTAATAACTAATGGATTTAACAATAATAAGTAACACTAGTACCAGTAATGTATAATGGATAATAGTATTAATGTATTACATAATACTAGTACATACAAATAGTACATAACACTAATACAGATAAATTATACTAAATTAATGATAATATCTAATAAAGAATAGATGTAATAGTAATAAGTAACACTAGTACCAGTAATGTATAATGGATAATAGTATTAATGTATTACATAATACTAGTACGTACAAATAGTACATAACACTAATATAGATAAATTATACTAAATTAATGATAATATCTAATAACTAATAGATGTAACGGTAATAAGTAACACTAGTACCAGTAATGATAGGTATTAGTATTAATGTACTACATAATAATGAGTAATAATATTAATGTACTACATAATACTAATACATACAAATAGTACATAACACTAATACAGATAAATTATACTAAATTAATGATAATATCTAATAAAGAATAGATGTAACAGTAATAAGTAACACTAGTACCAGTAATGTATAATGGATAATAGTATTAATGTATTACATAATACTAGTACGTACAAATAGTACATAACACTAATACAGATAAATTATACTAAATTAATGATAATATCTAATAACTAATAGATGTAACGGTAATAAGTAACACTGGTACCAGTAATATATAATGGGTAATAGTATTAATGTGTTACATAATACTAGTACGTATAAATAATACACAACACTAATACAGATAAATTATATTGAATTTATGATAATATCTAATAATTAATAGATGTAACGGTAATAAGTAACACTAGTACTAGTAATGTATAATGAGTAATAGTATTAATGTGTTACATAATACTAGTACGTATAAATAATACACAACACTAATACAGATAAATTATACTGAATTTATGATAATATCTAATAACTAATAGATTTAACAGTAATAAGTAACACTAGTACCAATAATGATAGATATTAGTATTAATGTACTACATAATAATGAGTAATAATATTAATGTACTACATAATACTAGTACATACAAATAATATATAACACTAATACATGTAACCGGATTACGGTATTCCAGTTCTTTGATTTCAAAAATTTCGCGCCTTGATTTTATTTTATTTTATTTTTCCTTTTTGAGAACTCGGATTTCGGAAATCCGAGTCCTACTGTTTATTTAATCCTTATTTCAGTTCAAATATTTTGCGCCTCAATTTATTATTTTTTAATGGGACTCGGATTACGCAAATCCGAACGGCACTGTTCATGTAAGATTTTTTTAAAAATATTATTCAACAAAATTTATTTAATTATTATTTTATTATTAAATGTAGATTCGGATTTCGGAAATCCGAGTTCTCAATTTTAATTATAACTCGGATTTCGGAAATCCGTGGGATATATTCCTGTCCACAAATATTCTGAAAAATTTAAATTTGTCCACCTTTGTTTTAATTAAATTTTTTAGGGAAAAGACCCGTCAATTCTCCATAACATCTTGCTTACGCAAGAGCTCATAAGATTGTACTAAAGGAAAAATCCAAAACCTTGCTGTTTGCTAAAGGTTTCGACTCCATTCATTCGGGTTTTATTGCAGAAATGCTTCCTCGGATGGGATTTCTGCCAAAATTCAGTGCATTGGTAATGGAATGTATAAGTACCACTAGTTATTCTCTAAATTTGAAAGGCAACATGGCTGGATTTTTTGCAGGTAAGAGGGGATTTAGACAAAGAGATCCTCTCTCTCCTTTATTATTTATTTTAGCAATTGAATATCTCACCAGGATGTTTCAAATGGCAGCGAAGGAAGGAGATTTTAAATATCATCCAAATGTGAAAAGCTGGGGATTATCAATCTCTGCTTTGCAAATGCTTTGATAAATCTCTGTCAAGCTGATGAAAAGACGGTGCAGATAATCAGAACAGTGTTGAATGGGTTTGAAGTTATTACAAGTATGTATGTTAATGTGAAGAACTCAAAAATGCTCTTTGGTAATGTTAAGGATGAGTTGAAGCATAAGCTGCTGCAAATAATAGGCTTTAACCAGAAAGATTTCCATTCAGATATCTTGGTGTACCTGTATCTCCAGTTGCATGGACTGAAAAGGAATGTGAAATCCTAGTCGAAAAGGTGACATGAAGGATAAGAAGCTGCACTACTAGACATCTTTCATAAATTTGGGAGGTTAGTATTGGTAAAGGGTATTTATTTTCAAAGCCACCATCTTTACTACTTGAAGCCACATATTATAAAATTGGATCATTTTACCCCTATTATTTTTTCAAATCAAATAATTTAACTAGAGAGAAAATAAAAAAAAAAAAATTGACCGACCGAGCGGTCCACCCGTCCCGGGTTAACACGGAACGAGTATATTGCTCGGCCAGTCCCGGTTCGGTCTGATATAGTGAATCGGACCGGTCAGGCCCTTTTTTTTAAATTTTTAAATTTTTTGTTTTTTTTTTTGTTTTTTTTGAAATTAAAAAATAGAAATATTTGTTATTTAAAAAAGTCTAAAAATTAAAAAATATCAATTGGATTCATTGTTATTTTTTAATTTTTAGATTTTTTTGTTGTAATTAGTTAATCTAGTTTTTAGGTCATTAAATTTATTAATAATTTATTATTTGAGTTACATTAAGTATCACCAATCTTTGTAGTACAAAAAATAGTTAATCTATTTGCACATATTTGTCACAATCTTTGTAGTATAATTATTATTTTTCATTATGAATGTATAATTATTATTTTAACTAAAAATTATCTTTAAAATAATTATTAAAGTAAAATTTATATTTTAATATCAATTCAAATAAATTAACTTAACAATAATATTAAATTTATTTTCAAGTAAAAATTAATTACTTGTTTATTTTCAAGTAAATATAAAATCGAGAGTTTAAGCACTAAAGTATAAATATTGTTAATAATATTTAAATTACGAGGTGTTCAACATGTAACGATACTGCGAATAAGCTAACATTAAAACAAAAATTAATAATTTGTCCGTTCTCACGTGAATCGGACCGAATGACTTGCCTAGTTCGGTCCGAGTGGCAGGGACAAAAGGAGAATTCTTCAAAATTGGTGGCTTCAAGTACTAATTTGGGTGACTGGAAAAATCCACCCGGTTGGTAAACTCAGTTTTCTTAAATTTATATTCATACTGGTCTAGTGTGTTTATGACTCGTAAAGCTGTGATAAAACAAATAGAAAGAGTATGCCGTACTTTCTTATGGGGTACTAGAGAATCAGGAAAGTGCTGGCCTTCGGTGGCTTAGGTAGATGTCTGTAAAGACAATCTCTGGGACGGTTAAATGTTTAAAACCCTGAGATTTGGAATAAAGCATTGATAGGCAAGCATGTTTGGGACTCGGCAAATCGGAAAGAAAGCCTCTGGATTCGCAGGGTGCATATGTACTATGTTAAAAATCAAGATTTCTGGAAATACCAACCTCCAGTTGACTGTAATTGGCACTAGAAAAAAATCATTCAGATCCGAGATCAACTTAAGGGAGCCATGCAGGGTGGTGTTTGGATGATGAACTCAGGGAAGGCGTATAATGTTAGGTTAGGTTACAAATGGCTAATGGGTGAAATACCAAAAGTCGGGGAATACAACATAATTTGGAGTCCTTATGCATTGCCAAAACACAACTTTATAGGATGGTTAGAAGTGAAAGAGAGATTGCTAACACAAAATAGATTGGCCAAACTTAATCTGTTGAAAGGGCCTGTTAAGTGTGTTTTCTGCTCAGGGGATACACAGACGATAGATCATCTTTTCTTTGATTGTGGTTACTCAAAAGAGTTGATGAAAAGGTTGTTATTGTGGCTGGATTTGAAGATTGAAGTAAGGAATGTTACTAGTTGGTTTCCTAGGCTGTTAAACATTTTGGAGGTTCAGGAAACTGAAACAGAAGATCCTTCATGCTATTATCACAACAATAATATATCACATATGGTCTAAACGCAATTACAGAAGATTTGGAAAGAAGGAAAAATCAGTTGAAGAAAGGAAGCTGGACATTATAAGAGAAGTTACTTGGAAGATTCAATATTTTTGTAGATTTGGAAATAACGATGACATTAAATTTCTAGAAAATTTGGGGATCTCATACTGTATAGTAGAAAGGAATTGGAGGATGTACTGATTCAAAGTTAATACAAAGTTTTTACCTTTGATTAAAAAAAAAAGTAAATACTACCTACTCGTCATTTATTTCCGTTTCAAAAGAAATATAGTCGTAATTTTTTTTTTTAACTGATTTGATTTCATTTCAATTACTAAAATGCTATTTGCTAAATTTCATTTTAAAAAATTCCTAAAGAAGAAGAAGGCCCAAGTCCAAAAAGACCAAGCCCCGGTTACCCGGTGTACTGTGTACCCAATTCCGTCAATATCATATAACGGGGAATTTCTACTACCCAAACCAATTCTCTTTAACGGCTAGTTTCATGTTCTGTTGTTCTACCCACCATTTTCTTCTGAATTTCGCCCCCATTCAGCACTCAAAAGAAGCTTTTCTTTTCAACAATTCAGTACTTTTTTCTCCAAATTCTTCTTTTCCTTCCTGAGATTTTCATCCCACCAATCCATATTGCAACCAATAATAAGAATCTAATAACTTCTTCCCCCTCCGTTTTCTCGCCGGAGAGTGGAATTCGGATCACAGTTATCGTTTTCTGGATTAATTCGAAGTGGGTTCGTTTGAAAATTTGATTAATATCAAACAAATTTGCCGATTCCAGTCGATGAATTATTGATGGGTTCGTACGAGAGAGATTATCAAGGAAGGGGGTTCTTGACGCCACCCCCCAATGGGAAGTCAAATCGGTGCGTGCCGTTAATGCCCCGGACGGAGAGGAAGCCGTGGAGTTCGGTCAAGAATGATTCTTTTCATGTATTTCACAAAGTTCCTTCGGGCGATTCTCCATATGTTAAAGCTAAACATGTTCAGGTACTGAAAATTGTAGCGGCTCATTTCTTTCAGGTTTTATCTTTAGGGTTTTAATTGGTAATGTGTGTGGATGCTCTTGGTTCTTGGTTTTCCTGAATTGATAGTTTCCTTCCTGTGAAGTTTTCGATTTCCTTGTATTAAAGCTATTTGCTTCGATTGCCATAGAACGATCTTTCTTAGACAGTTCTTTAGGCCATTTGAATTTGCTGGAAACTGAGATGATATATTGTATTGGTCATTTCGAGTTTATCAATTATTTCATGGCTTTAGGACTCATTATTTATCGTACTGGCTGAACGGGCAGATGATAGTTTTCTATGTGTATCGGAAAGAATGTCAAATATTAATTAGAATCTTGATTTGGTGAACTATCCCACACTTTTAAGTTAATTTTACCTATAAATATGTAATCTGTCCAAATTGTGAGGGAACAGAATTAGATAATAAGTTTTAGTCGTAGTTTACAGTAATGGTTGAGTTATCAACTAGAGTTCTAACCTGCTAAGTTCGATAAACAGGTGATTGACAAGGATCCAAACAGGGCTGTTTCCATGTTCTGGGCAGCAATTAATGCTGGAGATCGAGTTGAGAGTGCATTAAAGGACATGGCGATAGTGATGAAACAACTCGATCGCTCAGATGAAGCGATTGAAGCCATCAAATCCTTCCGTGATCTATGCCCTCAAGAATCTCAAGAATCAATAGATAATATATTGATTGAACTCTATAAGGTGAAGCACCTATTCCCTGAACTCGTACACAATCTTTCTGTTTAATGCTTCTTTTCTCGTTTCTTCCTCTAGAGTCTTTTGTGGGTAATGTGGCTAAATTTTACAGATCGAGTAAAGTAAATTTTGTTGGTTCTGCCACTAACAAAAATGGTAGTCATTGCTACCATTTTCTTTGCCTGGATGTCCCAAAAACAGTTTGGTTAGTGGTAAAGATTAAGATGGCGAATTCATCTAAGAACTTATTGGGAAAGAATGAAACAGTGCATTTATCTTACTAGGTAGTCTTGTATCGTTATGGAAACTTAGGACTTCTCATTGTCGACCAGTTTTAATTTGGATGCTCATATTTTCAACCCCTGGTTCTGGAAAGGACATGTCAATTACCTGTCAAAATGTTTTTAGCATAATGTGTTTGTTGATTAACTTTTCCTCTACAATCTGTGGAAATATTTATAAGTAGAATGCATTTGTCGATTAAAGTTTCCTGTCATAAAACTAGGAAAGAATAGAATCAAGCTCAGTATTGATGATACATATGAACTAGAGAATCTACTCCAGGGAAAATATTTGTTCTAGAATTGTTTTCTATTTGACATTTTCAGAAGTCATGTTTTTGAATAGCTCAGTGATTTGACTGATGTATTCTTTTGGCTTTTTAGTATGACTAAGAACACGATGTGTTGTGGGAATTTGTTTACCTACAGAAATCTGGCAGGATAGAAGAAGAGATACAACTACTGAAAGACAAGATTGAGAAGATTGAGGAACTTTGTTTTGATGGAAAGAGAACAAAGATTGCCAGATCTCAAGGAAAGAAAATTGAAATCACCATTGACAAGGAGTATTCTAGGTTGATATAATGTTATATTACATTCTTTTTAAGTGTTATGAAGGTTTTTCCATACTTTTCTAGTTCTGAAATTGGTGATTGTTTGCCTCAGATTATTAGGTAACTTGGGATGGGCACTTTTGCAGCTGGAAGATTATAAATCGGCTGAGGAAGCTTATAGGTACTATTCCTGATACTGAGTGTGTTCGTAATTTCATTTCGATGCAAATGGCAAAATAGTACTGTACTGGTGGTGATCTTTAATTTTGTTTTCTTGTAGAAAATCGCTTTCCTTTGACCCTGACGATAACAAGAAGTGCAACTTGGCTATTTGCTTGATTCACTTGAACAAGACATCGGAAGCCAAATTTCTGCTTCACAGCGTAAGAGCTTCATCAAAATATCAGCAACTAGGGGGAACTCAAGTCAAATCTTATGAACGTGCTACTCAGATACTGGGTGACATTGAAGTGAAAAGTGAAGTGAAAACTATGGAAACGCCTATGTCTCTGAACAAGCCTCAGGACTTTACTCGAAAGGATGAAGTATCAAGCACCAAAAAGTCTTACTACACTCAGCCTCTACATGGAAAGCATATCACAAGGTGGTCGCCGGTCAATGAAGCAAAATGTTTTGATTTGCCACTGCCGAGGAGGAGAGCTTTGAATTTTGAATGCAGTAATTCTAAATCTTGGAAAGATGACAGTACTTATCCTTCGGGTGATAGTGAAGTGAAAAGTGAAGTAAAAACCATGGAGAGAGAAGATGGTGCATATATAGAAGTTCAGACGATTTTCCCTTCGGTTTTAAGAAGTTCACAAGGTTTTCCAACCAGCAGCAGTGGCTCAGTTCTGCAAACCAACAGAACACCGGATGAATGTTCAGCACAAAAGAAGAGTTGGGCTGAAATGGTTGAAGAAGACGACAACCAAATGAAGCTATCAAGTTCTACGGATGATTTTGCTGATGAGAATTACAATATAAACATAACTCCAGAGACACCTATGTCTCTGAACAAGCCTCAGAACTTGAATCGAAAGGATGAACTATCAAGCATCAAAAAGGGTTACTACACTCAACCTCTACATGATTATCAGATCACAATGTCTTCCCCAGTCAATAAAGCAAAACGTTTTGACTTGCCACCGCAGAGGAGAGCTTTGGATTTTGGATGCAGTACTACCAAATCTTTGAAAGAGGGCAGTGTTTATTCTTCTTCAAGTGGTCATCTGAAGTCCATGAAGACAAAGAGGTTGCAGGCCTTCCGAGATATAACACCCTGAAGGCTGAATGTCCAAGACGCTGAGATTGATTGATCATCGGTGTAGAATTGAACTGAACTGAACTGAAGATGTGTGGACACTGTTCCATTTGCATAGTTCTTTTTTTTTTTTTTTTTCCTTGTGTGTGTGTTTCCTTTTCCTATATTCTTTGATTCTTTGTACAGGTTTAGAATTGTGGATAGAGATATAACACTTTATGAAAGCTCAAGATGTTGGGATTTGAGATCATGTGTATAGAATTGGACCTGAAGTAATGTTTACAATATTTCATTTCTTATTCTTTTTTCTTTTCACCTTGTTTAGTCATAGTAAGAACTCCAGTATTCTTTTGCTGTTGCATAACAGGCATCAAAATCTAGTCATTTGTGCTATTTAAACTTGATACCCAACCAATCCAAATTTTAAACATACATACCACCACCAACGCCAGTCCCCAACCCCCTATTAATTAAATTTGAGAATCCCTGTTAGCTTGTAGAGACCTCCCAATTAATGAATTATTCTTCATCACTTAAATAAAAAATCGTCCACTTTGAATCTGATACCAAAGCAGCAAACATGTTTGTAATCATTAAATGAGAGAATCTGTATGGAAATTGGTACCCCACTAATTAAGGCCTTTTAATTAATCTAATTCATATAATTAAGAAAGATAATTAATCAACGGTGGTCTTGCATTCAATCTTCGATTCCATACTAATAATACATTAGTGTGTGACTGTGTGTATATATACAAATCCTATTTTGTACACTAATTTTTGGAGGAGAAGAACCAATTTAGCTAAGGAAATGCAAACTCAATTTGGTTCTATTATCTTTGTTCTTCTTGTTCTGTCTCTCACGTTTTTAGTACTCAAGGCTTGTTGTAGTGATGATGAAAACAAATGTGAATGTGATGAAAGCAGAATTAACCGTGGTGGATTTCCAAGAGATTTCTTATGGGGTGCTGCTACCTCTGCTTATCAGGTACACTGATCAATTTATACTCTTTTTTGTTTTTTTTTTTTTTTCTGGGGTGATTTATCATCGTTTGGCATATTAAAACATTTATCCCGTTTGGCATTTACAAAAAAAAGCTAAAAAAAAATGTTGAGTCTTCTTTGAGTTAATTTGTCATTTATCAGGTGGAAGGTGCATACAATGAAAGTGGTAAAGGCTTAAGTTCTTGGGATAATTTTACACACGCCCACCCAGGTAATTTAAGAAGATCTTCTTTCTCCCAAATAAATTTGGAGTTACAGCAAAGCTAAAACATTCATAATTCATTATAGAATATTGTTGTCTCGAATTAACATTAGTCTCACTCTATAATTAAATCAATTTAATTTCCTTTTGATTTTTTTTTTAAAATTTCGTTTATCGGTCTATAATTTCATGTTTCCAACTGCAGAGAAAATCATTGATCATACTACTGGAGACATAGCTGTTGACTCATATCACGTCTTTAAGGTACTTAATTGTGTAGTGCTGTATATATCAGTTCTTAATACTTCATTGGATGCAAAAACATATGACTCCATTTTGTTGATCCGAACTATAGCACAATTATCTGAGATGTTCTTATAAGTTAAATGAAATACAATTTTTATTTTCCGATATATAATGGAAGAGATCATTCTTTAAGTCTAAAAAAAAAAAAACATTAAACATAGAATCGAATTCCATAAAATGGAATATAGACTTTTTATGTTAATGAAAATTAATTGTATGTACTTTGATTCTATGTTAGTGTTTCGGAGTGAAGTTGCTTTTATTAGCCACTATTGTATTGATGTAAAGCAATATATGTAGTTCCTTTCCATTCCCCCCCTCCCCCCCTCTATTAACTTATTAAAAAAATACTACCACTTTTCAATAATCTAATGTTTATTCAATTTCTTTTATTTCAGCTCAATTAATTAATTTGCACAAATTAAAAATAATAGTTGAGCCGAAATTTTTGTTCTTGTTGCTTAGGAAGACATAAAAATTGCAAGTGACTTAGGGCTGGATTCATACAGGTTTTCAATCTCATGGTCCAGGATTTTGCCGAGTGAGTACTTCTGAATTTTTAAATTCCTACTCTATATATCCCTTTTACCCTATTAAAGCAGAATACATGATGTTGATGTGATAAGTTCTTATTAAAAAATTTTAGCTCCAAATGCACCATATTGCATTAACCCCTGCCACGTGTCATTCCTTTTTTAAAGAAAAAAAAAACTTCTTATCCGGAGAAACAAAAGTTACTTTACAAAAATAGCTACACAATTTTAACTCCTAACACTTATCATTTATCAATCAAATTAAGATAGCATCTAAATTTGTCCATAAATTTATCCCCTTTATTATTCCACATTCGTTTGTATGATTTCTGCATCGTTGTACTTTTCAATATTTTTTCTTCTTTTGCAGATGATCTTTTTTATTTTTATATTTGGCAAAAAAAGGAAAAAAAAACAAATGTGTAACTATTTTATTTTTTTCAAATCAAGAATTCATTTATTTATTAACACAAAATTAAAGTAGAGGGGGCGCCCGAGCATCTGTCTGGGCCAAGCATCTAGTTCAATTTAATATACATAAATTAATGAAAATAAAATAATTTTTCGTTACTACACAGATGGAAATCGAAGTGGTGGGGTGAATCAAGAAGGAATTGATTACTACAACAACCTCATAGATGAACTTCTAGCAAATGGTATTAAATCTTTTTTTTCAGTACACACTTCATATTTTTCCGTTTTATACTCTTTTGAGCAAATGGTCTTATTTGTTCTATTCTAATACTTTCACGGTGCTTAAGAAAAAAAAATTCTACTCGTTGAACTAAATATATATATATATATCTTTCTTTGGAGTATATATGGATTATTCACTGGGTTCATTCTCAAATCTACAGGTATTCAACCATTTGTGACTATGTTTCATTTTGATCTTCCACAAGCCCTAGAAGATGCATATGGGGGTTTCTTAAGTTCTCGAATTGTGTAAGTTCCCAAAATTTCAACTTCAATCACTCTTGCACATTGACCACAAACTGTACCCGGTTAATAATATGATTAGTAAGTACGCTAAATTTCAAATGACCAACCAAAAATATTATACTTAAAAATATACTAATAGATGAACTTAATTAGCTGATCAAGGTTTTATTAGAAGTTTTATAGCTAGATGAAACTTTGCTTACTTCTTACCGAGATCTTCAAACAAAATGTGACTCTTTGGCGACAAAGGGAAACTATTAGTTTTTAAATCCGCCTTGTTTAGATGGTTTTTTCATGATGTAATAGGAATACTTTATCCCTCCAAGAATGTCGATTGTGGTTTGATTTAGATTTTTTTTTTCCAAACATAAAGTTTTTAGGAAAAATTTGACTAAAGGACAGTAGAACAACTCAAATTAATAAAAAGGGTATGACCTTAAAATATTTTGTATGAAGGGCAATAATTTATTTATTAAAAATCACAAAATAAAAAATACTATGAAATGACAATACCATCCTTATAATTTCTTACACACAAAAAATAAATAAATAATAAACAAAAAACTAAAACCCATCTTATAGATTAATAAAACCCAATTCAAACATAAGAGAATAGAATTTGTTAAAAAAATAATGTAAATGCAAAATCTAAAGGTTGTAAACACCAAGATTGCCATAGGAAGCAATGGGATTTTCAATGTGAATGCTTGAGTTATAAACCGAGTAGCTTCCCAAGTCCCAGCTGCACCACCATCTCAAATAATTATAAAGAAACACATAAATAGATAAATAGAGGAGAGTTTCATAATTAAACAATAAAAAATAAATATAGCAACAGCTCCGAAGAAGCCGAAAAACGGTACAGTTTCATCTCCGTTGAAGGTTGATAACATGGTGATAGAAATCTAATTTCGATTTGACGAGATTAGGAAGAATGAAGAGATAGAGGATTTAATTAAATCTGATTTTTGTTTTTTTTTTTTTGGGGGTTTCTTCCATTGTTTTTTCATCTATGATTGGCCGATTGAGGGAAATGATGCTACTTTAGCTTTGATCCGGAGAGTGATTTATATTTTATATATTTTATGATATAAAAAGGTTTTTAAAAAATAAGGGTAAATATGTCGTTATGAAATTATACTGATTTTATACTTTCGGATAAATAAACTACTGCCCTTTATAAAAATTATTTTAAGGTCATATCCCTTTTATTAATTTGACCTATTCTACTATCCTTTATCCAAATTTTCTCAATTTTTTAATACTACTTACAAATTTACATCTCAAGTTATTATACACGATCTAAATAATTTCACATTTTTATGAAAATAGGGATGATTTCCAAGACTTCGCAGATGTTTTGTTCAGCGAATTTGGAGATCGAGTGAAATACTGGATAACATTGAATGAGCCGTGGACATTTAGTAATCATGGGTATGGCATCGGAAAATTTGCACCCGGTCGATGTTCTGAATGGCAAAAACTCAATTGCGTAGGTGGCGATTCAGGAACCGAACCCTATATAGTGACTCATAATCAACTCCTTGCTCATGCAGCTGTAACAAATTTGTACAGAATGAAATATCAGGTTCATTTCTTAAACTCCATCCATCCCATAAGTCAGTAATTCATATAAGTAAACTATTAATATAGAACGGAACAAGTATGTTTGAGCGAGTTAATCTCCGTGATCTTGTTCTTTAATTTTGTGTATCGATTCGCCGCAAACGTTCATCATTAATTTTCTCATGCTTTCATTGTCATTTTATTTAGTTTTGTTTAGGGTTCATAGAAATTTTTGAACATGTTTTTGTGATATTGGTGCAGAAATGGCAGAATGGTAAGATTGGAATTTCAGTTGCTGCATTGTGGTTTGAGCCATATGATGCATGCGATGAAAACAACAAGGCAAGGGATAGAGCCCTTGATTTCATGTTAGGATGGTGAGTTTTATAATTTGAAGGCCTGAAACTATTAATTAATCCATTAAATTTTAAAAACATGACATTGTTTTTATCCAAAAAAAAAAAAAACAAATATCTGTTTGCAAACATTTTAATTAAAGTCATTTCATTTTCGAACATGCGAAAACTATTTACCCTTACAAGTTTGCCATTTTGTAGAAGGTAATTAAAGTATAAATGAATCTTCGATGATTGTTTCTCAAAAAATCTAATTAATATATTTCTTTTTTCATCTTTCATTATATTCAGGTTTATGGAGCCATTAACATCTGGTACCTATCCGGAAAGTATGAGGATTCGCACAGGAACTCGATTGCCAAGTTTAAACAAAACTGAGCGAGGTTTGTTGAAACAGTCATATGATTTCATTGGACTGAACTATTACACCTCCAGATATGCAAAGCATAACCCTAACGCTAGCAGCTGGAGCTATATTACAGATTCTGAGGTTGATATTTTAGGTATGTTTTCATCTATTTTTGGGTTATCCTCCCTCCTTCATTTGAAAAATGAAAACTGAGATAATATTTTATGTTACAAGTGAAATGACTTTGGTTTCATTAATGAAACAGGGTGAAGAGTTGAACTACGAAACTGAGTGCTTGTTTTTTTCGTTTCTCCTTTTCTTTAAGAGTAATGATATTCTTCTCTGTAAATATAACTCTACTTATATGTATATCTAGTTGGCATTCCACATCACCTCCTTAATTAGTATTAATTAATTTTTCTTTATACAAAAAAAAGAAATGACTTTAAAAGAAATTTTATCATTTTCTTTTTTTCTTCGGTTCTTTCTTTCTTTTTTTCCCCCTTCACCATCACAAACAGGAATTTTTTTTCGTTCAGGATTCATCACAATTCTCATCCACCCAAAAATCAAATTAGTTGAAGTGATGCTAATAAACTTGTAGTTCCATTGTTATTGTCGGGAATCTCTTAGATATGTTTTCATTTGTTTTGATTTTGAATCAAATCCTTCCATAGCTAGGGTTCTCTGTCCAATTTCCTATCTCCGAACATGTGAGTAATCAACCAATCTGCTGTTCAGCAGCCACAAAAGCTTCTACCTCAGAAATTAACCTAGAAGATGATAAGATTTTGTGAGGTAGAAAAATTCCTTTTTCAATTGGTGAAGACGAAGTTTAATTTGTTTTCCTTTGTAGGTTGAGGGTTCTACCAAGTAGCGACAGAAAGGGGGAAAAAGGGGGATGAAACTTAAGGAAGCTTCGTTTGAAATTGATTATATTTTTAAAAAAGAAAAAATAATAGATTTTATTTGTTAATTAGTAAAATAATTAATAATTAAGGAGGTTAAAAAATTTGGAATGCCAACTAGATAGACATAATGTAAGTAGAGTTATGAGTAGAGTTATATTTGCAGAGAAGAATATCATTAATCTTTCTTTAATTAGTTATGAAAAAAGTGCTTCAGCAATTGCATTTTCTCTTGACTAATTCGTAAAAAAGGTTTCTATGATCATTGACCTTTTTTTTTGCTTGTTTGTTTTTCCTTCAGAAGAAAGACACAATAAGCCTATTGGTGAAGTAGCTGTGGAAGGAAGCTGGCTTCGTATCTACCCCAAAGGACTAAGAGAATTACTGAAATACATCAAGACAAAATATAATGATCCCATTATCTACATTACTGAAAACGGTATTAAATTTTTAGCAAAATTTTTATCAACTTTTAGCAAAATTACAGTCAATTAAGTTGTATACCTACGATGAGCTTCTTCTTTTTATTCCTTTTTTTTTTTTTTCCATTTTTGTATTGATACGATTAACTTTGTAGGGCTTAATGAAGCAAGAATCGATGACAAAAATATACTTGAAGCAATCAAAGATGACGCAAGAAAAGACTACATCCATGACCATCTTTGTTGCATATATCAAGCAATTGAGTAAGCTTTCCGATATCTCCTCCTTCCACCCTTAAATCTCATGTGACGGTCTTACTTATTCAAATGAGAGATTGCTCAGCATTTATGGACTGCGACTTCCTTATGTTTTTGTTTTGAATTTGGATGAAATTTAGTGTAAGAAAATATAAAGTTGTTCATCGTGGTTCTGAGGTAGGAAAATATAGCAAAAAGGTTTTTTAGAAATGTTTGGCCCTGTATGGTCAAACTTAATTTTTTTAAAAAGGAATTGAAATGTGGTTTAAAGTTATTTTAAATTGACGGTTGAGATATTGTATGAAGAGTATTTTAAATAAATTAATATTTTCAATACCATTATCGAGTTGGATTCCTGCCACCTTCTGGTCCATCGGTGGCGGGTGGAGGTTTGATGGCGGTGAAGAGTGATCCGTTGGTGGTTCCTGAATATTATATAAACAATATTGACAATAAATTCTGAAATTTGAATGAAAAGTGCTACATGGATTCTGTTAGTGTTTAAAAGGGAACCAAAACTCCATTGGCCTTCTTGGGCAGGGAATGGCATGGCATAATCCGATGGTTCTGTGATGTGGGAGCGGCTTCAGTAGTTATGTATTTTTAAGAGGTTCCTATCTTCATAAGAATTCACATGAGTCAGTTAATTAATACTCCTTCCATCTTAAAATTATTGTACAGTTTGAATTTTCATTTTTAAAACTAAAAATAAAAATTCAAACCTTCAATAATACTAAAAATAAAAATTTAAACTATACTATAATTTTGGGACGAATGGAGTATCTTTGAATATTTAGGCAGTATAGTTTTAGTATATCAAGCTCTAGTCCTCTCACTTTGGGATGTTTGTGTGTTCCAGATGATGTTATATGATGTGCACTTTAGTGTTTCATTTAAGGTTAGGAATAAGAAGTGGTATTGCTGGCCAACAATGCATAGTTTTATGTACTGTTTCTGTGGCTCGGTGATAAAAAAAAAAAAAAAATTAAAAAGAAAAATAAAACTTTGTTGTGAAGGCGATCCATCGGTAGAGAGAGAACTTTACTACTCCAAATAGAGTTGGAGTTGGAGTTTAATTTTCCGAGGATATTCTTTAAAGGTGGGACTCCCATTCCTACTAATAGCACTCGCAGAAAGAGTGATATACGTTAAGAAATTTTGCAATCATTTATGAAAAATTATGTAGACTAAATCACGATCATATATAGCTACATCTCAGCCCCTAGCATTCAACCACTTAAGTTTTGGGGTATAATTTAGATTGAATTTATATATTCCTTACAAGTTTTCCGTAACATTTGTTTCATTGCTCATTATGATCTTGACAATGTTACATTTTATTGTGCACTCACAATATCATGTGTATTATTTATTTTACAGGAAGTATCGTATTAATGTCACAGGATACTTCGTGTGGTCATTGGTGGACAACTTTGAATGGGCTTATGGCTTTTCAATTCGCTTTGGTATCAATTATGTGGATTTTAATGACAAATTTCTCACAAGATACCCTAAACACTCCGCTGTATGGTACAAAAGTATACTGACAAAAACACAAAAACATAGCTTCCGACCTTATACCAGCTACTAAAAAATCTCATAAACTAGATTGTTGGCTATGTAAAAATTCTTGATGAACTTATATATAACTTTTATAAACCAATATTTATCAAGGTAGTGTAAGGTTGATGAAGCTCAAGAAGAGTACCTTAGCTCCTTTGTTGTTTTTCATATCATTGTTTTCTTACAAAAACTAATATATTTCTACCCTTGGGTCCTCCCATATCATACCAAAGGCCAAATGATTTGTTTATTTCAATCTCACTGAAAACATAACTTTAAAGTCGCTAAGGTACAAGCCGCTAGATCTAAATACTTTTTTGACACATAGTTACAAACACCTAATCTATTATATATGGGTGAGATCTAAATACTTAATTCTTTGTTATCAAACCAAACTATTATGATGCCAATTGTAACGTTTTTTAGTTAGTCTACAGACATACTTTATTTAGCTTTTGTCGTCGCGTTGCACGTCTACAACTTTTTTTTCAAGCAAAAAGAGAGAAAAGATCATTTTTTTCTCTTGGGTTAACAAGAAAAGATAATTTCATTAAACATATTTCAAAATGGAGTAGGCTTTCCCAACTCAATGTGAAAATGAAATAATAGGTAGTAAAGGTCAATTCGCATAGTGCTTAGTTCTTTTTATCCTATCGATCATGTAAACCTCATTATCACTCATAGCTATTTTTTTACGAGTCCGTGAACAAGTGTTGGGTGCAATACAGAATCCAAGTGTCGGACTCATCAACCTTGTAAAACTTAGGAAATGTGGATACATAATCCCGTACATGGATATATCTTTTAATTAATATTATTATAGGGGTGTTATATTTTCAAATTAGATCTAGGTTTTCTCTCGTTCGTTGCACGAAAAAAAAAATCGATTATCACATATGAAAATAACTTCATGGCTATGATTATTACAAATGAGTGGCATAAATAATAATAAACATATTTCGCACAACAGTTAGAAACGAATTAAAAAATAACAGGTTAAAATAAAACGATATTATAATTTGAATAAATTTCCTAATCAAATTTAATCTTGAGTAAATTAACTTTCATTATGTAAACAATTACCATTTCAATTTTTTTGAAGAATTTGAAAAATGAAAAAAATGTATTAACTATATTGATGCAACAACTAAATTAATTTGTATGATCACACTGATTCAATTAAAGTGCACATTTATTATTAAATAATGTCTGAATGATTATTATTTATGTTGAGCTCATACACTTACAATATTCCAAAATTTTGTTATAAAATATAAATTTAAATTACTAGGATAATAAATAAAATTTGGTTCTCAATATTACTCTATGAATGATATACATAGTTATTAGCATTTTAAGACTCTCTAATATAAATTTGATAATAATGTAGTTTTGAATAATTCAAGATATTTTTTATTTCATGAAAGGGGGCAATTTTAAGTGGTTTAGTATGGTATTAACTTTTTTTGATCAAAGGAATTAATCGATGCAATTTGGGTCATTGAGTTTGAAGTTAAGTATAATGTTTTATTTTTATTTTTATGTAATTTTAGCTTGTTCAATTTTTCTTTTTCATTTTTTAACACAAATGGTATCCTTTTTTGTGGATAGAAAAACATCACATGAAAATGAAACACGTTCGTAAATTTTTCTCTCTGATAATTAGTTAAAAAGAGGTTTTTTTTCTTATGTGTGTAGTAAAAAAAAAAAAATTAAACATAACAAACATAGTATACCATTGAATTGTTAACTACATTATAATACACCAACTTTATTCTATCTCTAGTAATTATTTTAATAAGATTGAAATTAGAATCAATGAATTCGAATACAAAGAGAATTTTTTTTGGGGGGTTTTTCCTATCATTTTAACTGGAAAGTTTCAATCTTTTTTATGCTATAAACGTCGTTTTTTTAATGACAAGGAAATATCGCATGAGAGGCCAATTCATCATCAAAGTTTCTCTCTCTAACAATTTTTTTTAGTAGGAGCTGATTATTTTTATGCATTTGTCGTAGGAGGTTTTTTTTGCATTTAGTTCATATTTAAAAAAATTGAAAACAATACATTTCAGACTTAATATATTTTAACCGAACAACATTCAACTATATGGTATTTTTTTATTCTCCCTCTAACAAATATTTTAATGAGATTGACATTAGAGCAATTGAGTTTGAATATAAAGAAAATATCTTAATTTGATATTTCCGATAGTTTTACCCATAATGTTTTAGTGTTTTTTTTTTAATTAGAACCAACAGTGCAATATATCATCAAATTTCTCTCTCTAATAATTGTTTTAGTAAGAACTGATTTTTCTTTTTTTTTTTTTCATTTGTAAGGGTAGCTTTGTTTTGATGTATTTGGTTTTAAAAAAAATTATGCATTTTAAGTGGGAAAATTTTCAACGACAATGCAACACATTAGTTTTTCTTTCTCTCTCTGCCTATTATTTTAAAAGTATATGTGATAAATTAGGCAAAGATTGTTTATTTTTAATCTAAATTTAGGTGTTGTATTTACTAAAATAGGTGTAGTATAGATAAATGGTGAAAATATGAGTTTTGTTGCTGTAAAACTAAATTTTGAATCTGATAAGAAGAACCTTATCTCGCCGCAATTTCTTCTCATCAAGCAAGAGATCTCAGTTTGTGTTTCCCACACACAAATATCGTCATTTTCTACATAATTTCAAGAAAATAGATCTTGTGGAAGCAATGCATGCTTTGATGAATAGATACATAGGAAAACGCCAAGGTTTACTTCGAATATGGATTTAATGTTATCTTCCTTTTGAGGTTGTTTGTTCCCCAACACTAGGGACGTTCATGACTTTGTTCAAACCACATAAATCAACTAAACCAAATATCAGTTTACTTTTTACTTGGTTGATAAATTGCCTTACGGAACTAATGGTTCACAAAATTAAAATCAGAAGGATTGGTTTGGTTTGCGATCTGAATAAGTGAAACCAACCATGTAAATCTAACCAAAACATCAATTTATAGATTATGGACAACTAATCTGGTAAAAAGGAATTGACATGGGCTAATGCCTGGGACTCATTTGATGTGAATAGGATGCGTCGATCTGGAGCAAAGCTGATGTAGACCTTCCTGAGGAAGCTCCCATCATGACACCTAAGTCTTCTGGTCCTATGACACGTTTTAAAGCCAAGAAGTTGCAAGAAAGTGTCAATGGTCTCCTACGTCAGACGGAAGTACCTATACCGAAAGAGTATGACGCTAGGTTGATCAATTTCCTTACCATTCAAGTCTAGTGTTTTCTGGTCCTTTCAGGTATAGTTTGCGGGGAAATAATTCAACTTGCCCGAGGAAAAATGATGTTTGCCGAGAGAATCAACAAATGCACCTATTCGGCTAACCCGTTTGCCGGGAAAAGGTCATTACTCGGACAACTCTTCACCCAGGCCCAATTTTTTACATCCGATGATCGTTTTGGACATTTTATATACACATTATCGGAGGTAGAACCCAGCTTGTCCGGGAGATTTTGCCATTTTCTGAGAGTTTTCTCAAAACGGCCCATTTTGCCGAGTCAAGAACCCGGGAGAGCCGTTTCAGCTTACCGATTTGATGTTGTGGCCTGATTTTTGGTTTATTTTGATGTTGTAAGTTATTTTAAGTGTTAGAACCTGAAAGAGGGATTCCTTAGGGACCAGGAAAGGTCCACTAAGTCAAGTAATTATTTTTCTAAGATTTTCTAATAGTATAGGAAAGCTAGTTGTATTATTTTAGGCATAGTTGCAACTTTTGATTTTTCTAGTTGCTTGCTTCACCACCTAACTTGTGGAGCCACCCAAGTTTGATGTGATAAAGAGTCTTCTTCCTCAAAAAAAAAAAAAAGAAGGGGGGAACAGAAAAAAAAAAAGAAAATTCCATAGCTTTTCAAAAAGCTTGAAACCGAGAGATCATCAATGGATTGTCCATGGTGAAATCTTGCAATTCCAAGGTTGGACTTTGGTGGTTTGCACTCCGGGAGTGTCAAGCAACGAGTATGGCAGCTAGGGATAAGTTTGGCCTGGTTGTTGGAGCTCTCTAATCAAGTTTGTAACAATCTAAGAGGAGCCAAGGTCGTTGAATCCATTTCCTTTGCGATTGTTAGTGATTCCTTTACTTTGGTTGTTGTTATCAACTTGGTAGCATACTAAGCTCTCTTTCCATTCAGATCTCATGTCATATTGCTCTTTTAGGTGTAGTTTTGGTGGCTGCATCTATTTGTGTATCGAATTCCTTTATTACTAAGTAATCTAGCCAAACCGTGAATTGTGTTCATGGTTATATCTTGCGATTGATCCTTGCGTCTTCGATTCTGCCTGCGTGCTCCATGTGTTTGACTTCATATTTTCTGAAAATCCTATCTTGTAAGTCTAAAAGGGTTTAGTAGGCCAGGGGTGTCAATTTATTAAGCCAAACATTGCATGACTCCAGGTTGTATCACTTAGGGTCAGTCTGTTTTTCCAATTTTTGTTTTAGTTCTTTTAGTTGTCCAAAAATTCTGAAATCTGGTGGGTTTTAACTTCAGTGTATTGGAGATATTGTGTCCAAATTTCAGGTCAAAATAAATTCGTTTACTATATAAACAAATCCAATATATTTTCTGTGGCAGATTGGTCCAAATCCATTTAGCTACTGCCCATTTTGGTTACTGGGGCTGTAGGCGTCCAAATGCGCTCAAAATTTGCCATAAATTTTCATTCCATAATATAAGTATTGTGTTAAATTTTCAGGGCAATCCAACGTCGTTTGCCTGGGGTTCATTTTTTGTTATAATTACTACTTTCGTCGGTTTTGCATGTATTCTGAAAATCAGTTTGGTTACTGGGGTTTTTGCAACCATTCAGTGCTTCATTGTCTATTAATAAACTCCTGAAAGAGTGTTTATGGAATGGTAAAGTCCGGGGCAAGGGTTACCTTTCATATCCATGTGTTTCGCTTCCGATTTT